CACAAAGCAATGGGGTGAAATTATTTAGATCATTTAACAACCAGACCAGGGACTTCAATTCACAGTTCAGTGTTCAATCCGTTTAACAGATGGGGGGAAAGTAATCAACTGATTTTGGTGCCTCAACTGTCCTACTCAAAGTGTTCCAGTAACTGAACTAGTTTAACTATAAAAGCACACGTAACATAAAGCCATGGTCCAATCTTGAAAGGCTCCAACATACAGCAGATGCTTAAAAAATTTTGTTGGATGCTAGAGCTTCAACAAAGGAGAAACAGTCCATCACCCTACAACCAACGCCTGCAAGAGCATCCTTTGAAGTTAAGACTAAAGCTCTGCTTGATGGACCATGACTCAGATAACAGAAATGTCATATGACTCCCACTATAAACCAGAACCACCTAATGAATCAAAGACTCTTCACTTTATTTTGTAAATGGGCCTACTCTTCTGGTTAGAACATAATATCAGTAATTATCACATTTTGGTGAATATATTCTTAGTCACATTCCCTGGTATCTTTTTTTAAACTTTGATTCTCACACTCTACATTCTTCCCTGTCTCCAGCTTCTCACCATTATTATCTCTATCCCTCATTTTAATTTTCCTTTTTTATAATCAATAAATTCCATCATGTTTTGAATTCACAAAATGGTAAATTTAGGCCCCATTCTTTTGATTGATGATTAATTGATTTAAACTTAATTTATCAGTTAATTTAAATTAATTGATAACAAACCCTACTCCTTATCAGGTCTCTTCCTACAAAGAACAGATGAAACCTTTTTATAAATAAACCCAGTAACACCAAGCCTAATCTCAGTAATGTTTTGTTAACAGCTAATGACCATTTCAAGGCCATGAACTAGATCAAGGTGTTCTTTTCAGTACAACTAATCTTTTCCCAACTTTTAAAAAGGGAGGAAGAAAGAGAACAGTGAAGAAATAGTGTTTTCTTCCCATCATTTTTTCCTTACAGCTGTGTGCTATTGCTCATCTTAGTGAACCAATGTATAAAAGCAAATATATTCCTCAAAATCTGGAAATGTGTTTTCTTGGAAATATTGTAAGAATTACTATTTTGAAAAATTAGAAAGTTAAAGACATAACAAAACGAAAGCCAGAGTCATTTTCCCTTGTCCCAGCCCTTCCAAACTGCATGATACGAACTTACACAAGTTACTAAGTATCTCTGAGCACCAGTTTCCTCTAAAAGAGAATTAATAATACCAAACACTCAAGGTTACTGAAAGTATTACTGTTAAAACAGTACCTGGGCATACAGAATGCACTCAGTAAGTTTCTGTTAGATGACCCCTGCACTTACCTCTACCTTTCACTACTGGCACCGAACCACAGCTTTGTTCTAGTAATTATCATTGTATGTGTATGGGTTATCTCCTCAACAGACTATAAACACACTCAGGCCAAAGAGTGTTGCTTTCTTCATAGTCCCAACAGAGTCATTTATTTCATCCTATCCCATGCATTAATTAAGTAAAGCACCTTCTAACAGAGTTACGAAGATATTGTAACAGAGTTATAATAGATAAATATCTATGGATTGACATAAAACACTGACTTGCAGAAAGAATAGTAAATAATAATAAAAAAAGCTTTATTATTGGGTTGGCCAAAAAGTTCATTCAAATTTACCCATAAGATGGTACAGAAAAACCCAAATGAACTTTTTGGCCAACTCGATCTAATACACATGTAACTCTTTCAATCACTACCCAAGTCATTAACTGTAAGGCCACTTCTCAGGAAGAAACTGGAGGTGCATCCAGAGTCAGTCAGCTTTACACAAGTGCCTCTCAAAAGTCCTTATTCTTTCCTGCAAACCACCCTGTCTCCCAAAAAAGGACTTAAAGGCTTTTCAGTTTGACTTCAGAAACCAAACTCCCAGGGCAAGGGTGTAGGGGACTCCTCAAGAGCAAAGACCTAGTCTTTCAGTGTTCAGCACTGTAAGAGTTCAATAGAAATCAGTTAACTAGTAGAAATATCACTAGAGGAATTATTCAGGTTACCCAACTTTGGGACACCAAGGGTACCCTTGTCCACGCTGCCTAAAATATTGGGTTGGCCAAAAAGTTCATTCGGGCTTTTCTGTACCATCCTATGGAAAAATCTGAAAGAACTTTTTGGCCAACCCAATAATTTCTTTTGTAAATTTCCTGTCCTAACTGTATCTATTATAAAGAGCCTTGGTTGATATATATATTTCTTAGAAATAAACTATCAAACAAAACAAAACAATGGAATTATTCAAGAACCAACCTTCAATTACGCAGGGACTAATTAAACAGGACCTATATTTCTTCTTTCCTCCACTCCTGGGTTTCTAGGTTCTTAGAATAGTGATTGGATAATTTCCAAGATAAAAGAGATAGGCTAAAACTTGTCAGAGTTTGGCAAATTCAGTATTATCAAACTGAAAGCAAGGACTTGTGATTTTCTTTTTTCTATCTAGATAATACGTAGTTGATTAGGATTAGAATAAAGTAGCCAAGAGTTCTAGAAAATGTAGGGAGCAAAAAGCCCTACAGGGAGCACCCCCGAAATTCAGTCATTTGCAGGACCCAGTTTCTGGTCCCTATAGTTTAAATTCTTACTACTCCAGTTACCTATTCTGTTATCTTCATTTCCCAACAGACTCCTGCAACTAAAGTATTAATTACGGTACATAAATTCCCCTCACACCAACCCCTCTACTTTCACCACCCTACCATTTCCACAATTTGGAATTATTTTATATTTAAGTATTTATTTCACCATCTCCTACCTATTAAATGACTACCCTGAGATAAACAAAACACAATTTGTATTCAGCACCATTTTAAAACATGGTCTCTTCCCTCAAGAAAGCCATAAAAGAGAAACTACTATTTTCCTAAAGAAATGAAATATCCCCTGAAAGCATTGTGGCAAGTCCATATAATATGTACACCAAAAACTAAACCAATTATTTTAGCCAAGAATTAAATCACTCTGTTCAGCTTTTAAAAACCTACCTTCTCTTCTGCCCTTTCCACAAAACCTGGCTAAGGTAAAATGATAATATGACTACCAAACATTTGAATAATTCTTCATAGTTCTCAAAATCTTATTTGATCCCTTCAACAAAGAGACCAAGGCAAGCATTGTGGCTCCCATGTTCCAGAAGGGGAAATCTAGGCTAAAAGAGTTAAAGTGATTTACACAAAGTGGTATATTTAGTGGCTAAACTGTCCTCTGATTCCTATTCTAGCACTACTTACAATCACAATGATTCCCCAAATGAAGAAAAATAATCAGTTTTCCACTCAGCATATCTAAACATGAAACTAACCATCCTAGGAAACACACTCTGTCTGAACTCTACTTCCATCTGCATGATCTTCTTGTCAGCTGTTCTTGCCCCTGGTTTCTGCTGCATCACCTACATGGACATCTATTTATTTTGCTATTTATACTTCTCAAGGTGATCCACGAGCAGAAAATGACAATAAATTCCTTTTTGACAATCATTTTTATAGTGGTATTTATTCAGTTTTGACATCTAGACCACATCTACCATGGTTATAACGTGGCTCAATAAGAACTGTTAGTCCTCATAGAATTAACAGAACAAACTTATACAAACTTATGTTATCAGCCGGGAAGAGTGGTGGGAAACGACAGTTAAGGAGTTTGGGATGGACATGTACACACTCCTATATTTAAAATGGATAACCAACAGGGACCTACTATATAGCACAGGGAACTCTGCTCGATATTATGTGGCAGCCTAGATGGGAGGGGACACTGGGAGAGGATGGATACATGTGTATGTATGGCTGAGTGGCTTACTGTGAAACTGAAACTATTCACATTGTTAACTGACTACACTCCCATATAAAATTCAAAATTTTTTTAAAAAAGTATTATTAGTCCTGCTAATTTTTGTTCTGTTTTGCCAAACAAGAATTAGCAACTCCTTTAATACCTGAGACAGAGAAGGAAAATGAAATGAAGCAGAAAAAGAAAGGAAACGATTAAAAAAAAAAAATAGTTCTAAAAAGTAGAAGAGGCTTCCTTCCCTAGCGGCTCAGTGGTAAAGGATTTGCCTGCCAATGCAGGTGACTCGGGTTCCATCCCTGGCTTGGGAATATCCCCTGGAGAAGGAAATGGCAACCCACTCCAATATTCTTGCCTGGGAAATCCCAGGGACAGAGGAGCCTGGTGGGCTACAGTCCTTGGGGTCGCAAGAGAGTCAGACATGACTTATCGACTAAACATCATCATCATCAATAGCAGAAAAGCACTATAGTCGCACAGATGTACTTTCATGTTCTGCTCAGACAGGGTTCCCTTCTGCCTGAGAATGACCTTCGTTCTGAGAGTAGGCCCTGGATTATTGGAGACTAACCAGCACCCTCCAGAATTACCAAAGAGGTCTTTATTGGGCAGCAGCTGTATTGTTTGTGGTGATACACTTAACAGTTGACAAGTTTATGCTCACACACTGGAAATTCACTATAACACTATGACATGATATTTGGCACATGTCAGCCCACCGTAGGATTTGAGCCATAGAAGTTACTTAAACGTGCCCAAATATCTTATTGGAAACATCACCTACAAAATTTTACCAAGTTCCAGAATTTTCCACATCACAGTGTACTTATACAACAGCTATATTAATTCACAATTGCTTTGTTCTAGATTTCCCACTTTCTCAATTCCAAAGAATAAAACTATTTACTTTCAGTAAAGAACAGGTACAACTGAAGTGTGAATTAAGAATCCAGTAAAAAGCCAGTCCAAAGATTATCCAGAACAATCTCTTAATTTTTCATAATGCTTTAACTGGAGCTTCAGTCACATTCAGCGTCAAGACTTTCATGAATTCAAAGCATCCTTTTCAAAATGGTGTTTTTCTGCCAATCCTGTTCCACACTGTCCTTCCTTACCCCCAAATGCAGCTTTTAATATCTGCAAGTATATCAAGCAATTTGTTTCAACACACAACTCTTACCTAGTAGCAGTGAAGAAATAATTATCTGATGGTCTTTAAGACTGTGGTTCACCCTCAAGACTTCTCCTGGAGGTCTAGCATCAATTTAAAGAGAAGAGAAATAAAATCAAAGTATTGTCATTAAAAAAAAGAAGCCCTGAAACTCATAAATAACAAGTTCAAATTCTGAATTACTGACATTGCATAATTTTGTACACTACCACTTAATATGCTACAACACACACCACACACACAAAAAATAAACTAGCTTTGGATGAGGTGAAATTGATTTTACATTTATATCATTGCCCTACCCTAAATTCCCCTCTTAAAGTCTCTTCCATTGTATGACAAGCAAATGAAAGTTACCAGGATCATTTGATACAATTTTAATTTCTCTCACTGCTTCTCATTTAAATTTACCATACAAAACACACACCGGCAGAAGAATAGATACTATGTAAGCAAGTTTTGTCCATATATTTAAGTGTTTAAATCCAAAATTATACAAAGTATTCAGAAATGTCTTAACCAGTGAAACAAAATTACACTCTTAGAGCTAAATGGGGTCATTTATTTTAAAACTATATATGACTATGTGTTTAAGAAATGAAATAAGGCCTTAAATTATATTTACTAGAGAGTAAAATAATTAGCTCATATAAAATCATTTTATATGAGCCTTTTCAAATACAAGTGTTTTTCATTTTTTCAAAGTTTTAAACATGTATTGCACTTCGTATTTTTATTAACATTCAAATGTATTATCCACTGTTAATACTGATTAAAGGTTGATCAAATGTATAGACAATGACAAATATTAAAAAAAAAAAAAAAAAATCCAACAACTGCCTCTAATCCAGACAGTGACCGATCTCAAATCCCAGAATAAAAGCAAAGTGTTTTTCCCATAGAAGTCTTGAAGATTGGAAGGTTCTACTTTCCCATAGAAGTACCCCAATTGGAAGGCTGGGTCCTTAGATTTCATTTGCTCTCCGATTTACTAAACTTTCTATTTCTGATCAGCATCCTCTCTACAACATCTGGCCCCCGGCTCAGGTCGTCTAATCACTTCCACGTCTGAACGGACTACGTAGCTAAAAAGTAAAGGCCAAAGTTTGCTCTCGGCCTTCCGAACTTAAAGACGCGTCTAACCACTAGAGGTCTCCCCTTGGCCAGTTTTGCACGTTCGCTATTTTGCTGCACTTGAAACTTTCCGGAGAAATGCTCTACTCGAGTCAGTGTTTTTCTAAAAACTTGCGCAAAAATCCACGCGACCGAGCTAGCCACTACGGAGACTCTCGGGCTCCCCACAGCAATAAAGCTATCACAAACAACATTCTAGGAAAATTAAAATTCGACGCACTCGCTCCAGCCGCTCTCCCCCCCAACCCCCCCTTCTTATTTCTCAGCTCAGTTTCCCTTAACTTAAACTTAGAACAATCAAAAATCTATTTTTGCTTCGGTGCACTGTGAATGATCTCTAACGCATTTTTTTTCTGGCGGTAGACCCGAGGTGGTCAAGGAGCCGGCCGAGGGATGCAGGGAGGGGGGGAAGGGCCGTGCTCGCAGCGCCCGAGGAAGTTGCATAAGGAAAGAGACTCCGTTTTTTGGGTCCCCTCAAAAAATCGGCGGGGAGGGGGAGGAAAAGGAAGCGGGGGGGCGGGGGGAGGAGGCAGGAGGGAAACTGAAGCGACGTTTACCTTCGTCTCCCCGTGGAAGGGTGGGGTGAGAGCCGCGATCTTCGCGACCCCGGAGGGCGGCTTGTTACCCCCACGTCTCTCCGAGCGCAGACGGACAAACAGATACCCCTACCCCTCCGCGGGGAAGGCGGGGAGCAAAGTGCCCGCTTTTAAACTTTCTCTCACGGTCGCGCTGGGGCCGGGCTTCGCCCAGAGAGGGTGGGGGAGACCGGAGGGCCTTTTTCTTTCAAGGTAATTAAAGTTTTACCACTAGCACGAAAGTTGCGCCCTCCCTCGGCCCGTGCCACCGTGCCCCCCTCCCCCGCCTCCAGGGCTCCCAAGTTTTCCTCCCTCTCCCCCCCCCCCCCCCCCCCCCCCCCCCCCCCCCCCCCCCCCCCCCCCCCCCCCCCCCCCCCCCCCCCCCCCCCCCCCCCCCCCCCCCCCCCCCCCCCCCCCCCCCCCCCCCCCCCCCCCCCCCCCCCCCCCCCCCCCCCCCCCCCCCCCCCCCCCCCCCCCCCCCCCCCCCCCCCCCCCCCCCCCCCCCCCCCCCCCCCCCCCCCCCCCCCCCCCCCCCCCCCCCCCCCCCCCCCCCCCCCCCCCCCCCCCCCCCCCCCCCCCCCCCCCCCCCCCCCCCCCCCCCCCCCCCCCCCCCCCCCCCCCCCCCCCCCCCCCCCCCCCCCCCCCCCCCCCCCCCCCCNCCCGGGCTGCGGCTCCGCGGCGCCCACTCGGGCACGCACCCCGGCGGAGCCCGGCGCCGCCGCGCTCCCCACCCCGCGCCCGGTGTCATGAAAGCGACCAAAGTGACAAGCTCGGGGGGCGCGGGGGAGGGGGCCCACACGCATCCCGCCGCCTGCGCGCCGGCGAGAGCCCGACGCGGCCGCCTCGCCCCGGCTGCCTTCCGCACGGCCCCCCACACCCTTCCCCGTGTGCGCGCAAAGAAAAAAATACAAGTCTCTCCTCCCCCCATTTTTTCCTTTCTCTTTTCTCTCTCTTTTGTTCCTCTTTCGCACTCGCACTCACTACTTCAGAGTGAGATGCCCAGAGACTCCCCCTCCAGCCGTTTCCGAGTCACTTGCCCACTTTTTTCCCCCAGGATTAAGTTTTCTTCTCTTTCCCAGAGGCGCAGAGAAGTGGGGGAGAAACCCCTTCTGTCCTTCCCCCTCCCCTGATCTGTTTCACAAGACGAGGGTGCGCTTCCTTCTCTGTAGAGGTCTCTGAACTTTCATCCTCACCTAGGAAAATAAATGAATGGGCTTTGGCACGGACAAATCTTCAGATTAATTAGAGATTAGATCCGATCAACCGCTTCTTACCCCCAAATTTTCTCTTTTTTTTTTTCTCCGTCTCACGAGTAGTCCTGACAAATGGTCCAGGGCTGCGGGCGCAGTGCGCATGTGCGCGTGGAGTCAGGGCTGGGGAGAGGGGAAACTGCGCTGGTGCCGGTGCCGCCGCGCCGCCGCCGCTGCCGGGGAGGCTCGCGCCGGCTTCCCTGTTCATGCTGCTGCGCCTTCGCCGCTGGAAAGCAGCATTAAAGCCGGTTGGCAAATGCAGCAGCCCGCAGATCCTGTTTCAGGTGCATCTTTTCAATACCCTTGTCACCAGCTCAGAGCTGCTTCCAGAACAATCAAAACAAATATGAAAGACTGCTAAGGTGCTAGATTTCTTTGTCTATTTTCCACTTTACTTTTTTAAAAAAGGCATTTCTCAGAGCAGCTGATCCACCATGTACTGTTAAACGTATGCTTTCAGCCATTAAAGAGTGGGCCTTGGTCTTGCAAAAACACAACCTGAAGGCTAAACGCATGCTACAGGTCAGGAAAAAGGAGAAAGTTTTAAGCTCCCCCCACCCCCCCACCCCACCCCCACACTCAACCTCTCTCTCTTAGAGGACTGGAAGAATGCATTATAAAGTGTGTATGTAAAGTGTCCGCGTGCCTTGCGTTTCTTAAGTGTTGGTCTTTATTGACAGCTTAAATGTGTTAGGCCTCTGTTGTGAAATCTGTTGGGATACATATGTCAACTTAGAAATCAGTGTTAAAGTCCGCTGGCAGTAAGCAGGTCTAGGACTACCTTCTGAATGTACTCAGTCAAGATGGCTGAGCGGTCCTCAACTGCGAAACCTGTCTTTGTTAGGGCATCAAAACCAGATCAAGGGAGACTATTGCATTTCCGTATTGACAGCTTTCCACTGATGGACTGTAGGCCTCCTTTTGGGCAGCTTACTATTCTCCTTCTCTACTCGATACAAGTACTTAGAAAAGAATTCAAGAAACTGAAGTTGTGATCAACACTTTTAGGTCAATAACGGAGTTCACCGTGCAAGGAAAAAAAAAAAACAAAAACGGGGAGCGCTGGTAATTTCAGGAATAGTGGAAGCAAGTCTTCACATTTTGCTGGGGTGGGGAGATAAAGTAAGGCCCCCTACCCCTCAGAGTGAACTAGTTTGCATCTAATAAATGGTCAAGGAGACCCTTTTCCGAAATTGCTGCCTGAGGCCTAGAATTTAAATATATCACAGATGGAAATTCTGTATTAAAAGTCTTTCTCCAAAAAGTAAGTAATAATATTCTCGATTGAATTTTTTCACTTCGGGAATGTTCCTTGAACCAGTTTCAGAAAAATAAACGGCTAAATTCTTTCCTTAGTACCATGAAATTACCCTAGAGAGGCAGACTATCACCCACAGTGTCTTCTGCTGGTGTAGTGACCGAATTCTCCAAACCAAAACCCAGGACATACAGCTAGACGTGTACTCAAGACAAGGGAACAAACCCTGTGAAGCTGAAAAGAGTTTATAAAATATGCTTCCTGTGTCAGGCAACCATTGGTTTAGGGGTGTGAAATGAGGAAGGCTGGGTTAGAGAAGGCTATAGATAATATTGATTTCACCCACAATATCCAGCCTTTTTCTGAGCTGTTCCCAAACAGCCTAATTAACTGATCTGAATTTCAGCTTCTCTCCTTTTCTCCCTAGCCCTTGAATAATAAGCAGTGAAATGGCCAAAGGCAGACTACAAGAGGAGAAGGGAAGCAAGGCCAGGAGCTATGTGCAAAACTAAGGCCTTATGCCCAAGGAAACTAATAACATTAATTTTAGATTTCTCTTTCTAAAAATCCATTCTAGACTTGTTCTCTCTAGATAATTTCTAGACTACACGTCTATTTCACAAGCTTTTTCAGAGATTTCTGTAGTCTTTAAACTTATATTAAAGATCTACCTTGTGCAAATCACACTACAAGATGTTGGGGATAAAAAAAATGATTAAAACTAGACCCCAAGGAATTCAGTCTGTAAAGACAGTCTAGTGCACTGGGCAATGCTTCACAGTGTGAAAGATGTTGTACTAGGGGTATGCCGAGCAGTTATAATTGAGGAGGGACTGTGGCAATAAGGAAAGACTTTCTAGAAAAGGTGACAACTGATTATTGAAGGACAAGTGTCCAAGGGTATGTGGGAAGATGATCCAATCAGAGAAAGCCTGAGTAAAGGTCCAAGGGTCAGGA